TTCGATTTCCGCTCTCCACTTACCACTTCCGGAATTCACGTGTAATAATAATAATAATACACGACGAAGAATTTTCGATCTACATAGGATGAAATCAAACTGTGTAAAAAATTTGTTTTTTTTTTTTTTTTTTTTTTTTTTTTTTTAAATCCGTCTTCTGCTTTTAAAATATTCGACCCGACACGACACGATGATAATGATGATGAAAAAATTAATCGTTTAATAGGCACGAGTACTGTTATTACAGTAATTGTACGCCGCGCATACATTCACCGAAAAAAAAAAATTCGAATTAAAACGTACTGAACGCGATTTGTTCAGCCGACTAGCAAACATGGAATTGAAATGATTTTTCTGGCTCTCACTCACTCGGAAAAATTTTAAATAATAATAATAAATGTTAGGAATATTAATGAAATGAATGATGACGTAGAATTTGTGTTCATTTTGAGTGACGAATACCGTCACAACAAACAAACAAACAAACAAAAATCATCATCATCATTTTATTCCTCAACATCCGGACATAATTATCAGTTATGGTAATCCAAAAGCGATTAAAAAAAAAAAAAACAATTCTTGGCGTTGTTTAGTTTTTGTTGTTGTTGTTGTCGTCTTGTAAGAAAGAGTGAGAGACAGTGTTTTAGTATCATTTAAACGGACGGACGGACGTCGTCGTCACCGCCGTCGCCATCGTCGCCATCGTCGCCATCGCCGTCGTCACGGCCGATTTTTGCAACAAAAAAAAAAAAAAAAAAATTGCCTTAAAATCGCGAACGTTTAAATGAATTGTTTTATGTTTACAAGTGGTTAAAGTTGTTTTTGTTGTTGTTGTTGTTGTTGTTGTCACGTGCTGTTGTTCGTTTATGTCGTCGTCGTCGTCGTCGTCGTTGCCGTCGCCACGAAATAAAAATTTGTTAAATGAACGAGAGAAAGAAGAAGAAAAGAAAGAAAAAGAAAAACAATTTTGTGTATGTTGTTGTTGTTGAATTTTTCGTACGGTTTATTAAATTATTATTATTATTATTATTTCGTTTCGGAAAAGTTGTGAAGAAGGAGTAAGGAAGGAAAATGTTAAAATTCAGGTATTTGCCCCCTCAATTTTTGAGGAAAAATGCCGGAAGTATTTGTAGGAGACGAAGAGAACGTTTCGTTTCATTGTCTTGGTCGGGTTTCGCTGCGGATTCTTGGTTCGAGGTAATTAAATTATTATTATTATTATTAAATCATCTCCAAGTTGTTTGTTGTTGTTTGTTGTCGTCTTACCATTACCAAATATATTCAACCGGAAACGGAAAACGTCGGGGTTGCACACACAGATAAAGAGAGAGAGAGGACAGTTTTAGGTTAATTAATGATCATCGTATACATGACGTACGGGCGAGGGGGGCGGGGGAAATGATTGAATGAATTTGAATTAAATGGAAATGATTCCGACGGACGGACGGACGGACGGTATACGATTTTACTTTTGTTTTGTTTTTAAAATTTCTTCTGCTGTTGTTGCTTCTGCTTTCGATCTTGCAAAAATACAAAATGGCGGTGGTGATGACGTAATTAAAAAATATTACTAATCGAATTTCGTATTAAACGTATGAAACCTCCCCGTATCGTATCGTTTAACATTTTTAAATAATTTTTTTTTTTTTTTTTTTTTTTTTTTTTTTTTTTTGTAACGTAAGTTGGTAGACATTTTTTTTTTATGACGAGTAAAGGCTCCAGTCATTATTAAAGCGATATGAGAAGACCAACTGAGTCATTCATTCTTATCGTCTGCTATTCGACGATATTGTTAGTCACTCCAATGACAAAAAAAAATGAAAAAAAAATCGGAAACGATTCGGTTTAAAAAAAAATTCATTTAAAAAATAAAAATGAAGGAGAAGAAGAAGGAGAAAAGTTTCGGGGAGGGGGCGGGGCGTGGGGGGCGTTTCGGCGGGAGAGTTTATTTTCAAATGCTTCGGTGAGAATTTTTTTTTTTCCCCAGGAGAGAGAAAAAAAAATCTAAAATTCGAATCGGGGAAAGGAAAAAATAAAAATTATTTGTAAAAAGTTTTCCCGTTGCAAAGTTTTCACATCCGACGGGAAAATATTTGCAAAAATCCTCCGCGGTTTTTCGTAAGAAGAAAAGAGGGGAGGGGTAGCGGGAGTGGGGGAGGGTAAAACAAAAAAAGATAAAGGTAGGAAATCGACGTAGCGTGTCAATGGAAATGGAAACGGGGGGGGGAAAAAAAGTTGGAAAGTGACGTCGTCGACACTGGAAAATTTTCAAAAAAAACTTTGGGGAAAAAGAAAATGAAAAATGATTGAACGATATTATTATTATTGTTATTAATGTTTATTTTATTGCGAATTCGTTACATCGAGAAATTGCTGAAGGGGGTGGAAGGGAGGGGAGGGGAACGCACACGCACAGGGATTCGCATCTCACGATATCTGAAAGTTTTTGTTCTCTCTCTCTCTCTCTCTCTCTCTCACTCGTAGACCGCAGGAAAAAAAGGATACGTCAATTTCATTTTTTACTCTTCTCTTTTCTCCCCCCCCCTTTCCCCGCCCTATTCTCTTTCCCTTCCTCTTCCTTTATTCGTTTTCTCATCCGGGTCTTGAATAGAAAAAAAAGTGCTGACGAAAAAACGATAGAAAAAAAAGAAAGAAAGAAATATGAGAAAAGGTAAACATGTATATATATATATATATGAAAGAATGAAATAAATTTTTTTTTTTTTTGAACGTGGAAGAAGAAAAAAGTGGGGAAAAAAATTTTCCGGTTTCGAGTTTGTTTTTTTTTTCTTTTTGCGTTTCTTGTTTTTCCCGCGCGTCATCCATCCCGCTTTTCTGTCTTTCTTACTTACTACTTATATTTATTTTATTTATTTTTTAAAATATCACATCGATTGCGAAAAAAAAATAATAATAATAATTCATTCGATATATCGAATCGATTCAATCGAAACGACATTCGGTAACGCACGTCGTTTCCCCTATTGATGAAAGAGGAAGTGCGAAAACGTGTGTGTGAGAGAGAGAGAAAGAGAGAAAGAAAGAGAGGTAGAAAGAAAGAAAAAAAAAGTAAGAATTATTATTGTGTATTGTTGATGTGACGTCACAAATAAATTATTGCGTAATTTTTATGTCGTAAACGCGCGACGTGTTTTATTATTATTACTATTATTATTATTATTATTATTATTATCACGATCGTTTCTCTCTCTTTCTCTCTTTTATTTTTCCTTTTTGCTTTTATTTCTTTCTCTTTCTTGTTGTGATGATCATGTTTTGAATGAATGAATGTAAAAGAAATTTTCTATTTTTTTTGGGGGGAGGAAGAAAAAGAGGAAGGAAGGGGGAGGAGTTTAAGAGGAAAACCGACGTGGAAGGAAGGAAGGAAGGAAGGAAAAGCTTTTAAAAAATAATTCTGCATCCTCTTAACATAAAAAAAAAAAAAAAAATTTTCTTTCTACAATTAATTTTTTTTTTTTTCCTCATTCGAACCGTGAATTACATTATATTATTATTATTATTATTTTTCCGTCGGAAGCAGAAGAAAATTTTAAAAAAAAAAAAAAAAAAAGTGGAAGAAGAATCGTAATAATAACCGAACGGTGGTTTTGTTTTAAAACGAAAAGGGTTCTTTCGTCGTAGGCGTTAATATTATTATTATTATTATTATTATTATTATTATTATTATAACGCTCGTTTTGTCGGTTGAACAACTTTGATAATTAAAAACCTAACCGATAAAGAAAAGAAAAAATACGTTCGTGACGTCATAATATCGTTGAATCGTGTAAAATCGTCAAACGAACGTCATTCATTTCGAACGTCAACGCACGTATTTCGAATTCGTATTATAAAATGAAACATTGGAAAGATTATCAAGTCGGATTCGCGAGTCGTCGAACGCGTACCTGAAAAACACAAGAGACGGGAAGAAAAGGGGAAGAAAGCGTTCGCGGTGTCCGTTCGTATTATATATGAAAAAAAAAAGTAAGTTGTTGGTTAAAGTTGATGACGTCATTAATAAACCAACCTTTTATTATATTTTTTTTTTCTTACCTTCTTCCCTTTTTTTTAAATCCCGGTTTCGTTGTCTTATTCCCACGTTCGTGTAATTAATATGAAACGCGGAAAACGTGTCGGTGTGTGTGCGTGGGTGGTGGTGAAAAGGTTCAACAAAAAGGTTCGACGAAAGGAAAAAGATTTTTTTTTTTTTTGTTGAAAATATTCGAAATCGATATTCGATGTACGAGTTTTGTTTTTTTTTTTTTTTCTTCTCCCGTTAATTAAAAAAATTTACAAGGTTCGCAACCGACGTTAATTATTATTATTATTATCATTATTATTATTTTACAAAAATGATGTTAATTTTAAAGAACGGGAAAGATGGGAAGAGTAGAAAGAAAGAGAGAGTGAGAGAGAGATAGCGGGGGGAGGGAGTATGAAAGGGTTAAGATGAAAAAGGCAAATGGCAATTTGATGAGCAAAAAAAAAATGGCGGCGGAATTACATATTTCGTCACTGCTTCCACTTCCTCATCTTTTTCTTTTTTTATAGAAAAAAAAAAAAAAAAAAAAAAAAAAGTTACGTAAGGAAAATGATGACGTAAGAAAAGGGTGAACTTCCTTTTCCGGAAGGAAAACTGTGCAAGTTGTTGAAAAAAAATGAAATTGATAAATTTTTTTAAAAATGAAAAATGGCGATTTTTCGAATTGATGATGTTCTCTTATAGAAAAAAAAACAAGATGGCGGAGGATTCTTTCGTTTTACAAAAATGGGAAACTTTTAACCGTTTTCCTTCCGGAAATGGTTGTTTTTCTTCTTCTCCTCGGCTTATTTCCCTCGTGTGCTTACGTAAAAATTTTCCCCCCTTCTTTTCTTTTCCCCTCCCCCAATTTCTCTTTGATCATTTCTCGCGCTCGAGTTGATTGTTCGCGTGAGACCATAAGTTATGATTCGATTTTGTTTTTGTAAAAAAAAAAAAAAATAATAATAATAATGAAATGAATTTTTTTTTCCAGATCGATTATCCGGAGGGACAGACGATACAGCAAAGTCGTCGTTTTAACATGGATCGGGGAGTCAACCTCGTCTTCGACGAGAATTTCAGTCAAAACAGACCAGAATTATATCAAAAGAGTAATAGGAGCAGTCATTCTTCCGATACAAGTTCGGCATACAGCGGCTCGGACACAATGACTTCCGTACAATCCTCACTCGAAGCAGACGAAGTTGATTTGTCCGGATTGGTAGAATCCATTGTCGACAGCGACGAGGAAGATCTCGCCGAAAGCATCGACGTGAGTAATTCACAAAAATTTTAAACTTGTAGAAATCCTATTGGTTTTATTATTATTATTATTATTATTAATATTTGATTCTTTCTCCCCTGGCAGAGTTTAACCGTTCGGGATCACGTGAGAGAATGTTTAGAAAAAGATCCGTCCGAACGTACGGATCAAGATATTGAAATATTACTCGAATTAACGCAGCATTTAAAAGCGTTCACGAACATGACGTTAGCCGTTAGGAGAGCACTTTGTGCCGTCATGGTTTTTGCCGTGGTGGAAAAAGCCAACACGGTCGTCATGAACGACGGAGAAGAATTGGATTCGTGGAGCGTACTCATAAACGGTCACGTCGAAGTCGAACATTCGAACGGTGAACTCGAACAGCTCGGATTGGGCGACAGGTAAGTTTTTTTTATCAATGGAGGGAGGGGAGGGGAGGGGAGAAGAAAAGTTAACGAGAAAAATTTTTTTTGATTTTTTTTGACGTATTTCAGTTTTGGAATTTTACCCACGATGGAAAAATTATATCACAGAGGAGTCATGAGAACGAAATGCGACGATTGTCAATTCGTGTGCATAACTCAAACGGACTACTATAGAATACAGCATCAGGGAGAGGAAAACACGAGGAGACACGAGGAAAATGGACGACTAGTCATGGTTACTGAACAAAGAGGAGGAACGGAAGTGCCCTCGAGAAGAGGACACATTGTTATAAGGGTAATGGAAACGAATCGAATTCCGACCGACTTCCGACTCCTTTTTTTTTTTTTTTTTTTTTCCCCTCCGAGTAATATTTTTTTTTATCTCTCTCCCCAGGGAACTCCCGAACGTTTGATGCTTCAACTCGTGGAAGAAAATTCAATCGATCCGACGTACGTGGAAGATTTTTTATTAACTCACAGGACTTTTATTGACAGTTCGATAGACGTCGCCCAACAATTGTTGGAATGGTTCGGAGAATCATCCGTGAGAGACCGAGTTACCAGAGTCGTTTTGCTATGGGTCAACAATCATTTCACGGATTTCGAAACGGATCCGGCAATGATGGAATTTTTAGAAACGTTCGAAGCGGGTTTAGAACGTGAAAAAATGCAGGGACAGGTAGGTAATGGGGGAAAAATTCATTCCTTTTTTCCTTCCTTCCCACCTCCTTCCCGTTTGCGGATTATTATTATTATTATTAATATTATTTTGGGATTTGTTTTTTAGTTGAGACTATTGAACATTGCTTGCGCTGCAAAAGCTAGAATACGAAACGTCACTCTGGCACGTCCGTGCAGGGATCAAGCACTCAATTTTAGTATTTTAGGGGGTTACGAAAAGGGTTTTGCAATATTCATATCAAAAGTGAGTGACTCCGTTTGTTCATAATAATAATGATGATTACGATGATGATGATGATGATTGTAATCGTTTTTTTTTTTTTTTTACGCAGGTCGAAAAAAAATCCAAAGCCGAACAAGTCGGATTAAAACGTGGTGATCAAATATTAGAAGTTAACGGTCAAAGTTTCGAACACGTGACGCACGTTCGAGCCATGGAAATACTACGTGGAACTACACACTTAAGCATCACTGTCAAATCTAATCTATTAGGTTAGTGGGATGAAAGGGGAGCAAGGGGAAGAAGGGATGATTGGAAGGGAAGACTTTAATTTATTGAAATTTGATTTTCCAACAGCTTTTAAGGAAATGTTGTCGACTCCGGACAATTCGCCAAGGCCGAGAGGTAGAAAAATATCGGAAATAGCAAAATTACAAACGGATCCGAGAGCGAGACACTCGACGTCGGGAGATCCCCGAGACGGTCAAAATAACGGCGGGGAAACGACGACGACGACGACGTCGACGACTTTGGTGTCGGCGAGTCCGCTCAAAGACAAAACGCATAAAAGTTTCATGACGTTGGGACCCAAGAAACGATTGCAAAAAGCATTGATGAAAATGAACATATTACCAAAGAACACCATCAAGTGAGTTTTGTTCCGCCATTTTGTTTTTTTTTTTTTACGACGACGACGACGACGACGACGAGGAATAACGTTTCCGGTTTTAATTTTGCAGTGAAAGCGCTTCGGATGAAAGCGTCGTAGATTCTAGTTGTACTGAAACGACTTTATATCACAGTCAAAGCAATCAGGATTTGTATAATTTGTACGATGATAGAGCAGTTGATTATCCGGAACACGTACTCAAAGTTTATAAGCCCGATCAAACTTGTAAATATTTATTAGTGCATAAGGTAAGTAGTGTAGGGGGGGAGGGGTTAAAACGAATTAAATCTCGTAATGTATCCTCTCTCTCTATCTCTCTCTCTCTCTCATTCTATCTTATATCATTATATCAGGAAACGACTGCTCACGAAGTCGTCATGCTTGCCCTTCAAGAATTCGGTATAACGGATCCAAGTTCGAGATTTTCGCTGTGCGAAGTTTCCGTCGCCGAGGGTGGCATAATAAAACAGAGAAGGCTTCCCGATCAATTACAAAATTTAGCCGAAAGAATCGGTTTGAGTAGTAGGTACGTAAAGGAAAATGTGGCGCTGTTGTTTTCTCTCTCTCTCTCTCTCTCTGCCGTCGGAAAAAGGAAACTGATCGATTGTCGTTTGTTTACAGGTATTATTTGAAAACGAACGGAGTGTCGGAAACGTTGGTCGCGGATGAAATGGCTCCGGAATTAATACGGGAATCCCACGTTCATTTTTTACAACTCAACGCCATAGAAGTTGCGATACAGTTGACGCTCCAGGATTTTTCGATATTTCGACAAATCGAAAGCACGGAATATGTCGACGATTTGTTTCAATTGAAAAGCAGATACGGTGTGCCCATGTTGACGCAATTTGCCGAGGTAAACTTTGTCGCCAAACGCACGTTTGTCGCCAATAAAAAAAAAAAAAAAACGACGACGACTCGTTTACGATTTTTTTTTGATTTTTTCAGCTCGTAAATCGTGAAATGTTTTGGGTCGTGACGGAAGTTTGTTCGGAGAGTAACATAATGAGACGATCGAAGATAATAAAACAATTCATAAAAGTTGCGAGACAGTGCAAGGAGTGTAAAAATTTCAATTCCATGTTTGCTATAGTCTCGGGACTCGGTCACCGAGCCGTGACACGATTGAGGGGATCCTGGGAAAAACTTCCGTCGAAATATCAGAGGTTGTTTAGCGATTTGCAAGATTTGATGGATCCCTCGAGAAACATGAGCAAATATCGTCAACTTATAAGTTCGGAAGTGTCTCAGCCCCCCATTGTAAGTAAAAGAAAATGAAAAGCGAATGAAGAAAATGGAAAATTTATATTTTTCTCTCTCTCACTCTCTCTTTCTTTTTTTTAGATTCCATTTTATCCGGTCGTTAAAAAAGATTTGACTTTTATACATTTGGGAAACGATTCACGGGTCGAGGGTTTGATTAATTTCGAAAAGTTGAGAATGATTGCCAAAGAAGTTCGGCAATTGACGAATATGTGTTCATCGCCATATGATTTGTTAACCATGTTGGAATTAGGTAGGATGACGTAATGAATGATTGATTTATTATTATTATTCGAATGACGTCATCGTCGCTCTCTACTCGGGGGAGGGGATTCGATATTGATTTGATTTTGTTTTTTTTTTTTTTTTTGCGGTCAGGTGGTCAACCTCCTTCCAGCGCTATGTTTGCACTCAATCAAATGACGACGGGTTCGGGTCCTCCGCAAGCGAATTCGGCGACGGTTAAAAGAAGGAAAAAATCGACAGCAGCTCCCAATCCGAAGAAAATGTTCGAAGAGGCTCAAATGGTTAGAAGAGTCAAAGCTTATTTGAACAACATGAAGGTAACGTGAGACGAATTTTTTTTTCCTCTTTTGTTTTTGTATTTCGTTTTCCCACGTGGTTAATACGTCACGATTGGCCTCTCGTCTGAACAGGTAACGACGGACGAAGAAAAACTTCATCAGCTGTCGCTCGAATGCGAACCTGCGGGTAGCGCACCGAATTCGGCACCCGTGAGAAAGAGACATCCTAGTCCGACACTTTCGACGACGAGTTCGGCGAGTAGTACAAGCGAAGGGAAAAAAGGAGTGCCCAAGGTAGGTGCACTAGACGCGTGTCATGACTACTACCTTCTGTGAGAAGTAGAGTCGACGGATAATTTGTTTTTTTGTTTTTTTTTTTAAACAGTTTGGAACCGCGTCGCCGCAGGCTGTCAGAAAAATGTTAGCTTTAAGTGAATCGAACAAAACGAGACCTCACTGTCCTCGTCATCCAGTTCCGCAAATTCCGCTCTCCGGTTTGGCACTACATCATCCGACACTATCACCGAGTCCCAGTCCGAGTTCACACAGGAGAATGGGCTCCGTCGTCGTAGGTAAGATGACAGCGGGGAAATGTAGAAAAAAAAAAAAAAATTTCGATTCAGACTAACATTTTCAGTAAATCATCAATTTAATGACCACCACGACGACCACCATTACCACCACCACCACCATCATTAACAGCACCAACGGTGCAATTAACAAAAAAAAAAAAAGAAAAAAGAAAAAATGGACATATTATTAACGAACGCTCATAATCATTTACAGGAATGTCCAATGTTGGACACGGAGGGCGTGCTATGCATGAACGTTCACATTCTGACACCCCCACACTACCGCTACCTGTTCATTTATCTGCAGAAAGCAGTTCTGTCACCTCTTTGAGTAATTTGCCGTTGAGGAAAACAGTTACGTCGGGTATGTTGCACACACACACACACACTCAAAAAAATTATTATTATTATTATTATTATTGTTATTATTTTTCTCTCCTCTTTTTCCTTTCTGACGTCGGAAAATTTTATTGTTATTATTATTATTATTATCACGTATACGAAACGTTCAATTTATTAAATCGCAGACAATTAAAAAAAAAAAAAAAAAAACAAATTCATGACGTCACAATCATCAACACATTTATTAATTATCGATCATCGATTTCATATATTCATACCTTTGCACTTTTTTTCTCTCTCTCTCTCTTTCATTTCTCATTCGCTTTCTCTCTATCTATCTATCTATTTTTTTCTCTCACACACACACGCACGCACGCAATACTCTTTTCACGCGATTATAAACATTACGTGTGCGGTGTTACACTCACTTGAAAATGAATGGAACGTGTTAAGTGTACTATAATGAATCTTTTGTCAGGTTCAGTGACGTCCAGTGACTCCGGACATTCGACACAGTTAGATTCACATTCTGGAAGCTCAATAGAAGTTCAACACGGTGGTTATTCTCCGTTACAGACAAGAAGACATTCCGCGTTGCAGCCAGGTATGTTTTTGTTTTTTGTTTTTTTTTTTTTTTTTCCCATTATCATCATTATTATTATTATTTATTTATTTTTCGAATCATATTTTTGCATATTTTTTCTCGCTGCATTTGGCTGGCTTATACCGCCCTCGTCAGTACCCCCGTTTTCCCCTCCCCCCGGTTCTCGTATCATGCCCTCGCGTAGCAGCAGTAGCGTGCTTACATTGCCGGAGGGGGAGGGGAGAAAAATATGGCTGTCTCATGCGTGGCTTTTGGGTGTCCATCTCTCTCCTTTTAGCTGTGTAGTTAATAATTTTTTTTTACAATAGCCAAATTGACGGCTGAGTGCGCTTTGGTTATGATTATTATTATTATTATTATTATTATTATTATTATTTTAAATTGGTTTCTTAAGTGATGTATGTAAACATTAAACGGTTCGGGTGGGGATATCATGCATGCGCAAAGAATCGGGGAAAATCATTCTTTGATTGCGAAACGAAGAGGGATGTGTGTGTGTGTGTGTGAGAGAGAGAGAGAGAGAGAGAGAGAGAGATAGAAAAAGAAGAAGAAAACGTTTTGGCAGGATTTATTATTATTATTATTATTATTGACCGTTAATTAATGTTAGGACGGTAGTAGTAAGAGGAAAAGGGGGGGAAACGTTAGGTTTAGCTTTACCCGAAGGTAAAGTCTAAGACGACGATTAAATCATAATAATCATCATCATTATTATATATATATATATTCTTGTTATAAATTTAGGCTCTGTGGAATATCGTCTTGCCAGATCTTTTGCGAATGGTATTGGTGTACCTGTACTTCCCATAAACGGTAAATATTTTATCTATATACATATATAAGTAATACATTCTCACGCCTCTCTCGTTTTTTCTTTTTCATTCATTCATTTTGTACAAATATATATGTAAATTCATATGGGTGTGTGCGCGTGTAAGTGGGACGTAATAGGTTTGAGAGTGATAACGAATGAATTATTTGTTGGGTAAGGGGGAATGAGAGTTGAAAAAAAAAAATTAACACCACTTAATTGTAATTATGTAGAATAGTAAGTAGTTTGCTTTAAATCAGAGGTACCAACATAACTCACTCACTCACTTCATAGCATGCAAGCAGCAAAAAGTTTTTTAATTAAATTAGTTTTATTGGCTTTCGGCACGAGCGCGAAAGGTTTCGATTGCTTAAAAATAAGAATTAACAAAAGGCACCACCACCACCACTATTACCAACATTATAAACACAACGTTGTAGCAGACGAAAATAATACAAAAAGGAAAACACACCCCCATGTCTTTTTATTTCTCCTTCGATTAACTCTGTTAGAACTATCATCACGGGTCATTGTCATTTCGAGTGGTGGGGAGGGGAGGATTGGAAACTCCATCGAAGTAAATTTATTTCGTTGCTCCTCCCTCTCCCTCCCCTCCCCTCACACAAACACATACATACCCACACACACACAACACAACACACAGTGTTTAATCTCACATTCATGCAGTAATTGATTGATTTATTAACCCAAGGGGTCACGGGATCTTGTCATCATAACCATCATTATTATTATTATTTAAAAAAATAAATCACTAATTTAATAATAATAATATTTAGAAAAAATTAAAAAGAAATTGAAATTTTTTTTTTTTCTTTTAAATTGTGATTTTGCCAGGTGTCGGAATGATGCCGCCACCTCCTCCCCGTGCACGGCACCCTCCTGCATATAGTGTGGCCGCCCAGGTGGCTAGGCTTCACAAATTGGGCCGAGCTCATTCCCACGAAGGAGTTATAGGGTATTACCACACGGATCCGGAAGAAGATGGTGGGCACTTTTATATATATATACATACACATATATATAAATAATATTTTGTACATTTTGAACGTGAATGTGTGTATAAAGAGTGAGAGTGAGAGAGTAAGAGAGAGAGAGAGAGAGAGAAACATACACGAAGCTTTCCTCCCAATTTTCCAAATTTTCCACTTATACTATATACAACACACGGGTAACAATGTGTAAAGATGGAGGAAAGAAAAAAAAAGAAAGAAAAATTCAAATCGTTCGCGCATGGTTTTAGATATGGTGCCATGCTTTTATTATTATTATTATTTGCTATACGTGTATGTATACACATAAGAGTACAAAATTTTATTTATTTATTTATTAACGTACTTCAAATTTAGCGTTTATGACCGCCTCCGAAGTATTATATTATATCGCTTTGAATTTTTTTTTTTTTAAATGCACTGCATACAAAATGGCTGCCGCATTCTTCGTCAATGAAAGTTTTTATTTATTTATTTATTTATTTATTATTATTATTATTTCATTATTATTATTATTTAAGGCTTACGCTCAGATTTGGAAAAAAAAATTTTATTTTTTTTAAATTTTTAGTTTGATTGCTGTGAATATTGTGATTTAAATGTTGTGAATATGTACGAATTAATATTTTCAAAACTTTCGCAGGGGGTTGATTATTTTTAACGTGGCAGGGAGTGAAAATTTTTTGGCGGGAGATTTAAAAACGTTGAAAGGGAAAAAAAAATGAAAGGTTTCGCCTAGATTACGTGCCATATAATTATTATTATTATTATTATTATTATTATTATTATTATTATTATTATTATTATTATTATTATTATTTTGGTAGTATTTGAATTTATTGTACAGGGTGTTAAATGAAATTTAAAATTCTTGTGCACGAATTTTTTTTTTTTTATGTGGAAAGGGTTATAAATATATATATATATATATATATATATATATATATAGACTGTGAATGTGTAAAAAGGGTTTATAAATGGGGATTTAATATTTAAATTTAAATTTAAATTTAGCGCCAAAAAAATTCCCCTCGAAATTTTTTTTTTTTTAATACCGTTTCAAAAGCTTTCAACCGACGACGAATGCTGCATTTAATTATTATTATTATTATTATTAATAACTTTATTTTTCTTTCCCGTTTCTTTAAATTTTTTTTTAAATGACGTCTAAAATCAATGACGTAATATTTACTTTGTACGAAGAAAAAAAACGCGTCGAAAATGTAAATTTTATTATGTGACGTCATCGCAGAACAAAGATAATTCAAACACTCGAAAGAAATGATTTTATTTTTTAGTGACGTCATAACGATACGTGAACGCGCTTTTGAAAAATGGCGACGCGGATTTCGTACAGAGTAAAAAATAAAAATAAAAAAATCGTTCGTTTGTTTTTTATTTCGATTTCGAAAAGGAAACCATCGCGGAAATAAAAAGCAAACGAGTGAATGATTGATTGATTGATTGATTGAAACCGTTAATATTAATTAATTAATGATTGATTGATTTATTCATTTCAGACGATGAAGATGCTCAAGTATCTGCAGTATGAAAAGTACAAGTAAATAATTAATTAATTAATTAATTAAATATATATATAATTATTATTATTATTAAATAAATGTCGATTTATATAAAAAAGAAGAAAAAGGAAGAGAGAGAGAGAGAAAATTTCTTGCACCCCAAAGAGAAAGAGAGAAAAGGAGAGGAAATGGCAAACGAACGAACGAATGATTGATTGATTGATTGGCTGAATGTCCGATCAGTGAGAGAAATATTATTATTATTATTAGTATTATTGACGTTTCGTGTGTTGTATTACCGCGTGAATGTGTTTGTTTATTTAGAAAATTATTCGTTTGTAGCGTCATCACGTGATCGGATACCCGGAAATTCATTTTCTCTTTCTCTCTCTCTCTCTTTCTCGAGGCGGGTGTAAGCCCATTGGTTGGATTCGTTTGTGGTAAATAAAAGGATAGAAGATGAAGAAGAATACACGGGAAAATGCTCGTTTCCGTTTCCGTTTTTATTAAATTTTTTAATTTTTTTTTTTTTTTTTTAATTTTAATTTTTTTATTATTATTATTATTATTTTTTATCGTAAATGTCGTCGTCGTCGCATACGTATATGTATGATGATGATAATAATAATGATTTTTATTTTGATTTTAATCCCGGGAGGGTGATTTTATTATCATTATTATTATTATTATTATTATTATTATTAAATGAACGGCGTCTCAGATGTTTAACATATTAAGTCACTAGTCTTAGAAATTTAAAAAAAAAACAAAAATTTTTATCATTATTTATTTTAATAATAATAACAAAGAAGAAAAAAACTAAAAAAAAAAACCCCCCTATGATGATTTCCTGTTGTCGTGTAAATAGAATTTTAAAAAATAATGATAATGGTAATGATAATACTCTTGTTTTATTCGTTCGTTCGTTCAACATTTTATTCATATGGTTTTTAAGTATTTTATTATTATTATTATTATTACTTGTGATGAAAAGTGTATGAATGATAATTTTTGTATGAATTAGAGTTTTTTTCCTCTTTTTCCCCTTTTTCGTTTACTTTAAGTTTTACTTTTAATTTTTAATTTTCTGCTACCACGTTAAAAAAAAGTTTTTGTTTAGCTTTAGTTATTCCGTTTTTGATTGATTTGTCGTGATCTTTTTCCACTTGATTTTTTTTTTTTTTTTAGCTTATTTATCATTCGTTATCACTACTACCACTACTAGTACCACTACTTCTCCTACTACCACTATTACTACTACCACCACTACCACTACTATTAGGTAATTATTCTTATTCGTGTAAAAAAAAAAAATAAAAAAAAAAATTTAAATGTTAAAGCGCCGCACGGCGGTCAAAATGAAAATTAATTTTTTCCCGTCGCGTGACTGTATTAATTTTTTCCCTTTCCCCATTCCTCCCATATCCCATCCCCCTCCGTCCACCTCCTCTTCATCTTTATTCATTTTTTATTTTAATGATTATTTTAAAAAAAATTATTATTATTATTCAATTTTAATTTTTTTTAATATGAAATTTTCGTTTTAACATTTGATTGATTGATTGATTTTAATTGAATTATTATTATTATTATTATTTTAAAATATTCGATATAATAATAATAATAATAATAATAATAATAATAATAATAATAGAAAATTTTAATTATTATTAAAAAAAAAAAAGAGAAAGAGAGAGAGAGAGAGAGTGAGAGTGAGAGACGATGAGGGGATCTCAATTGATTATTATTATTATTATTATTATTATTACCGTTCGACGCATTTATTTGCCAGATAATGTGATGATTATTATCATCATCATCATCATTATCATTATCTCTTGCGGGAAAAAAAAATATATCGATCGATATATCGAAATGAAAATTTTTCCATAAATAACTTTCTTGCTGCATATCTTCATACAATACAACAAATGTTTTTGTTTTATAAAAATTATTCAATGAATGAATGAATGAATGAATGATTGATTGATTGATTGATTGGTTATATGAGACGTTTTTAAAATTTAAGAGAAAATTATTGTCCCCTATTAAATACTCAAATAAAAAATAGAAAAAGATAAAAAAAAAAAAAAAAAAAAAAAAGATTTTATTTGTATTGTAAATATATAAATTAAATATTGAATTAATAATAATAATGATAATAATAATAATAATGATGATGATGATGATGAAAATTTCCCTTTTTTTTTTTTTTACGTAACAAAACTTTTTTGTTTCTCGATTTCAATTTTATTATTTGTATTTTAAATAAAGAAAAAAAAGGTAAAAAAAATTTACAACAAAAAAATAAATAAATAAATAAATAAAATAAA